CCAAATGCACAAAGTACATGATGCAAGCTTTCGAAGTTCCACCGGCTTCTTCATCAGGCAAAGATGTCAAGAATCATTGTTTCTGTTGTTATCCGCCTTCAAGTCAATCTCGACCCATGGGGACCCAATGGATGAGACCTCTCCAAGAAGACCCTCTGTCCTCCCCTGCTCTGCTTAAATCCTGCAACCCCTTCAGACCTTTTTAATAATAGAGTCCCTCCATCTGGCAGCATGTGGCCTTCCTCTCTTCCTCCTTCCCTCCACCTTCCCCAGCATTATTGCCTTTTCCAAAGAGTCCTCCCTTTTCTTCTCATGATGTGTCCAAAGTATGACAGCCTCAGTTTGGTCACCTTGGCTTCTTCCAGGGAGGTTTTTGGCTTAATCTGAAACCTCCCGGGAAGAAGCCAAGAGGACCAAACTGAGTCTGTCGCACTTCGGACACATCATGAGAAGGCACAACTCATTGGAAAATACAATGATGCTTGGAAAGGTCGAGGGAAGTAGAAAGAGATGAGTGGACTCTATAAAAGAGATCATGGGAATGAATTTACGGAAACCAAGCAAAGCAGTGGAAAATAGGGAGTCTTGGAGATGTCTCACCCACAGGGTCGCCATGGGTCAGGATCAACTGGAGGGCAGCTAACAACAACAACAAATGCATTTACTTAGTTAGCTTCCTCCTTCCCTCCCATTCACTGTGGTGCCAGGGCTTACCGTCCACTCTGCCCTGCAACCACTTTTCGGCTAGTGATTCTTTAAAGGTTCCTTATCCTGTTTCCCTAAGTAAGTGAGAAGGAATAATCCCTTCATTTCACCTCGACTTGGAAACAGTCCCTTCAGCTAAGAGTTGTTCATCTTGAGATGGTGTGGCTTACTTCCTCTTCATCCCCAGACACTTCCCGAATTGCCAGATGTTTCTGTAATGTCATCATTACGTTTTGCGCATTACGTCGGCCAAATGGATAAAACCAGACCTAGGATTTCAAGGGGTAAAAGGAATACAGAAAATGAAAATGCAGCTCTGTAACACAGAAGCAGAAACACACTGCCTTTAATTTGGTGCAAGCGTGGAAACAGTTGTTTCACGATATTTTGTACGTTCCCCAATCTGTTTCAAACCGTCGCATCCTTGAGACGCAGATCGCCTGGCGCTTGTATTGTATTTTAGGAAATGCAAGATTTCTGAAGGATATATTTGCTTGGCAAATATAGAAAAATAAAATACATATATGGAAAAATCAAAATCGACATTCTTGGTTATGAAAAATACATAGAATACATAAGAGCAGCAAGGATGAAGAAAACTGGAATAAGCAAAGGGATAGTAAATAAGAAGAGATAATTAATTAAGGAATGCATAGAAACCACAAGAATATGAAGGGATTGAGAGAAACTCTGGAATATTGTTTGAATTTAGGGAAAAACAGCCTATTCGGAAGTTTTGGTTGGTTAGTTAGTGTCTTTTTTGTTATGTAGTTGTATATGTAGATAGATCAATGTTGTATGTTGTATGTAAAGTATATAAAGTCTAATAATGTTGAATGTTTTTTTAACTTGGAAACGCATTTAATAATAATAATAATAATAATAATAATAAATAAGAACAAAAGATGATCCTCTCTTGCATCTCCACCACCCGGATTTAACCTATTCTATCTCAAGGCCCATATGGGTGCAAGTGGACCATTAAGTAGCTAGGCACCAAGGGATCTGAAGATTTAAAAAAAGATTTCAAAGAAGCAAACCTAACACTATTTGGGAGCAAAAAAGCAGCTGTTGCAACGGATATAAGTTTGAGATGTTCCGGATGCCTAGCTCCCACAAGAGGTTTGGGTAGTCATGTTTGTTGTAGCTGAACAGTCTTCAATGGAAAGCCCCACAAAGGGTGCACTGCAGTAGTCTAGCTGGGATGTGACCAGGGATGGGCATTGCAGAGACAAGATCCACCTTCTCTAGACAGGGATGGAGTTGGGACATTCTTGTAGGGGCAGAATTCTCCTAATAACCTATTTTCCGAGCCTCAGATTTGCCCGATATATACAGATATATGTAGCCTACAGCCTATGACACGCTCCAAGATGACCATGGGAAGAGCCCTTCCAGATCAAACTAAAGGACCACGTAGCCCAGCATCCTGCTTCCCTGACTCAAGTGGCTCTAGGAAGGACAGACGAAAGATCCCAAAGGGCTGGAACATGTCACACTAATATCAGCTATGTTCTCAGGAGGAACTACAAAAAAGGGCTGTAACTTACATTGTTTGGACTACAATTCCCAGAATCCCCCATCCCGAGCTCGTGAAGTACACTTTTGGAATGCATCTCCCAGAATCCCCATGCAGAACCCATAAAGTGTAATTTTCTGGACTAGAATACCCATACAGAGCCCATGTTTCAGACTACAACTCCTAGAATTTCCTAGCCAGGGCTCAGAAAAGATCATTTCAGACTACGACTCCCAGAATCCCCCTCAACCCTCGGACCTGCTCATCATAATGGCTTGGGGACTCTGGGAATTCTAGTCCCAAAAAGGAACTTTTCCACGCTCGGCCTGAATGGGTACCTCTATCTATCCCATCCATTTCAACTATGCCACCCACATCCCTGCCTCTCCTATGGCTATGCTGGCAGGGGATGCTGGGAGCCGTAGTCCAAAAGATAACTTTTACAAGCTCTGGCCAACAGCTGAGCTCATCTCAACTGGACTGGTCTCTTCTCTGGAATTCACACCCTCTGAGGCTTGCTTTCTGCTTTCCTTTT